TTGATTATGAAGGACTCCACTTGTTAATCCCATAATGGAGAATCATGAGTTTAAAATCAACATCATTTATTATCCTCATTAATAGCATTAAGAGTTTGGAGAATTCACAATTCTACTAATTAAATCACCCTTGTTTACCAGGAACAATTGGTAGCCATGTCCATTTGATGACTAATTTGGTGCCTTAAGCCACCCCTTTAAACTAAAACTCTTTATTTTTCATATGTATTTTTAATCACACAATAAAATATCCAGTACGTGAACCAAAAGAATTTCCTTACTTTTTAACCATAAATTCTCCAAAAAATCACTATTCAAAACATCATTTTCCCACTAATTTCTCTTCATAATGATCATCGAAAGGGGCTAAATGAGATTATATTGAATATGATGGGATAAAAATATTTCACGCCTTTGTTTTTTAAATTTCGTCAAATTGAGCATGATGTCAAAATATGACGTTACACTCTTTGATCAATTTTGGAACTAGCACCCATAATCACGTCAAGCTATAATGTTGTGACCTAGGACTTTGTGATACCGACCTTGAGGTAATTTGATTGGTAAGTGAGGTTGGATGCCACGGGTCGTAATGACACTTAAGTCTTAGGTATGTGTGCTAAGCCATCTTGTCACCCTCTTGATTGGGTAGTCTGAGTGACGCTATCGTTAAGGGAGAACACTTTCTCTATTACGTTATAATGATATTTCCATATGATTTCTCTCGTAGTCTAACTCCAAATCTATATTTTGGTTACTAGCCTAAGGTACAGAGCTAAAGTATCTGAATCCTTCGACAGGTAATCTCTTTTGATTAGGTTAAATGAATCCCCTATTCATTTGACGTGATTTTCAAATTAACAATAACAAAACATATTAAAAAACATCGTAAATGATAAAAATTTCACAAATCCTGCCTACTGTAGCTATCAAATATTACAATGTCAAATCCACATCTATACTCTTTTGTGAATGCTTGTATCAGTACAATGGCATACAGTATGGGTAGTCCATTATTCACATAAAAATTGTCTATTAATATCTCAGATTCCTTTGCTTTAAGAAGAGATATGAGTCATCGATTTACTTATCTTTGCTTTCATAATACCGCTTCCTCTAAAAAGAAGTCGATAATTTAACAATTCATCCTTTCACACTTTTCTTTTTAAGGAAACTAAAAAATTTCATCTAGTTATTACTTATTAGATATTACTAACTAATAATTAACCTTAGTTGAAATAGATTAGAGAATAAAACAAATACAC